TGCCACTAATGGCGGCTTCGTCCCTCGAAGTCGGGAGTGGGTGGTGGAATCCCCAAGAGCTACTGTCACTGATGACGGTCGGCCTTTCTGGGAGTGGGTAAAGGGAGGAAGGGGAAGGTTAACTACAATGTATTTGGACTTCACAATCAGCTCCCAGAGAGGTTGCTCACACCCATGCGTAAGGCTTACCTTCTCTGATTGCGGTCGGTTGCAGAGTGACTTGGAGGGGGAACAGGTGCCATTTTTATACCCGTTGGCCCCGATTAGTGTGGCCGTACAACGGCAAAATCGCGTGCCATGCGACCTAGCGCGTGTGGCCAGGTGGTCGGTGGTCAGTGTGCCCAGCTCTTCATTTGGCGCGCCCGCCTGACTATTTAACTTTCACTTCATGCTTTTATCGGTTAAACTTAATTTTTTTGCTCTTAACCTAGGCTTATTATTATATTATTATTATTATTATATAAATATATATATTTTCTAATGTTTATGCTCTGGAGCGTCACACCTCCCCCCCGCTTGCGAAGGCACGAAGTGCGGAATCGTTATTTTCGACCCTCTGCCGAATATCACCTTTCATGTTTTGTCGGCATCCTCAACCAAGATGGTCTGCTGACGCCCTTTCCGCTTCTGCCTCCAGCGCTCCTTCACCTCGTCCACTGCCTTGGCCGACAACACTGCATCCGATGGTACCGTCCACCTCATCTCGTTGGTGAACACATCCGGATGTTCCTGCTGTTGTACTGCTGTTGGAACCGGTGGGCCGTGCGGTGCATCCGCCCTTTGCTGGTCTTCTGTGCCTGGATCCGGAGGGTGTAATTCCAGTAAGTCCCTATCCGGCGAAGGCGTACAAACCCTTGGCACGAGTTGGTGTCAGCCGGGGGGTTTTTCGGGACGTGTGCCATTCTTGCTCTTCCGCTACGGGTGCTTCGGATGGTTGCGCCAGTGCACATTGGGCCAGCGAGCCGATTTTTCGACGAAAATTAAAGTTTTAAAGCTAGCTTCTTCAAATTTGGTGCATATGATAGTGTCGATGCACATATTAATATATCTAAGTTTCAGACTGATCTGACCACGCCTTCCCTAGCCGCCCATATGAGATAGGTTTTCTCTTATTGATACTTGTACGGTAATAAATATTGCTAGCGCTCGTTAAATTCAACAAATGTTTTTAATTCATTTTTTTAACACTTAACCTTAATATTAATAAGTAAAAAATAACAATGCATTCAAAATGACTATAAATGGGTATTTGACATTTAACAAGAAAGGAAAGCTAGCTTCGGGCGGCGCCGAAGTTGATATACCCTTGCAGAATACCCTGTAAATTATATTCTCCAAAATTATTCATATGCGTTCTTAATACTCATAAAAAATCCCAACTTCCTAACTTTAAAAACACCAAAGTTATGGCATTTCCAATCGTTCAGTTATATGGCAGCTATAGGATATAGTCGGCCGATCCTTATGAAATTTGATAGGTCGGATTGATTGGCCAAAAATAAAACCCATAGAAAATCCCAACTTCCTAACTTAACAAACACCAAAGTTATGGCATTTCCGATCAATCAGTTATATGGCAGCTAAAGGATATAGTCGGCCGATCCTTATGAAATTTGGTAGGTCGAATTGATTGGTCAAATATAGGTTAGGTTAGGACGGCTGCCAGGCTGTAGCCTGGTACACTTAGACCTCTGTGGGTCCATTGTGATACCGTATGATCTCTATTTTTGGGTCCCCTATCCGTTAAGAGTCAGCCTGTAAGTTGGTCGATCAGCAGGTCCCCCATCCGGAGGATTTAATAAAAGAGCTTAGACTCTTCAGGTTAGTCTGCGATATTTCGGTCAGGTCATTTATGAAAGGATATCCTAAGTGTTTCAGTCTGAGCCTGCATAGGGCTGGGCATGAACAGAGTAGGTGTTCCACCGTTTCCTCTTCTTCCTCATCCCTGCAGCTTCTGCAAAAATCGTTTTTTGGGGCTTTTAGCCTGCCGGCGTGTGCGCCAACGAGCCAGTGGCCTGTGAGTACTCGAATTAGCATGCTGCACTCAGTGCGGCTGAAATTGAGTAGTTCTGATGTTTTCTTATTGTTTATTACAGGCCATGTCTGGTGAGAGATTCGGCATTGCGGTGTGTTTTGCCAATAAGTGTTGGCTAATTTGCTGAAGTGGTTTTTAATAATTAGCTTACAAGTAGCCATCGGCATGCCGACATTCTCCTTTCCTGGAAGGAGAGGTATGGTGGTGCCTTGCCTGGCTAGCTCGTCTGCTATACAGTTGCCTACGATATCCCGGTGACCCGGAACCCATATAAGGCTGACAGTAAACTGATTAGCCATCTCGTGGAGAGATTTGCGACAGTCTGCTATTGTTCGGGAGTTTGTGTTTGTCGAGTAGATTGGTTTAATAGCCGCTTGGCTATCACTATATATGTTTATGTGTCTGTTCTGGGTGTTTAACTCCCTTAAACAGACAAGTGCTTCCATTATAGCGTACACTTCCGCTTGGAAGACACTGCAGTGGTCAGGAAGTCTGAAAGACCGCCTGATCTCTAATTGCTCGGAGTATATGCCTCCACCTACGTGTCCGTCTAGTTTGGAGCCGTCTGTATATAGACAGATTGCGTCTATTGAGCCCGGTCGGCCACGATCCCAAACTTCCCTGCCTGGGATCAGAGCTTCGAAGGGCGTGTGATTGTATTCACGGGTTTTACATAGATCCGTTTTTGGCGGGATCAATTTGTCATGCTGAAGAATCTTAGCGTGACCATACAGTTGGGCTTTCCATTGCCCTGTATCCCTTAGTCGAATGGCTGCCGATTTCGCCCTTTCCATTCCTGCTAAGTCCAGGCTCTGGAGGTTCAAGATCGCATTCAGCGCTTCGTTTGGGGTAGTTCGAAGGGCTCCACTCATACACAAGGCCGCCATGCGCTGTACTTTGTTAAGTGGAGTTAAGATACATTGTTTGTGTAAAGCGGTCCACTCCAGAGCCACTCCATATAGTAGGATTGGCTTGACTACCGCTATGTATATCCAATTGACTATTTTAGGGGACATACCCCATCTTAGCCCAATTGCTTTTTTACAAGAGTAAAGTGCAATGGTCGCTTTCTTGGTTCTCTCTTGGTTGTTTAGTCCCCATTTAAGACGCTTATCTAATACTAACCCCAAGTATCTTGCGTGCTCGCTAAAAGAGAGATTACAGTTGTTTAAAGTGGGTGGGTTAAGTTTAGGGATTTTGTATCTATTTGTAAAAAGGACTAGTTCCGTTTTTGAGGGATTTACCCCAAGTCCGTTCTTTGTAGTCCATTCCGATAGTGTTTTTAGTTTTGCGGTCATAAGATCGCATAACGTTTGTGGGTACCTACCATTAAAGATGATAGCGACATCGTCTGCGTATGCCACTATTTTACAGCCTCCTCCTTCAAGAATCCGCAGTAGTTTATTTACCGCGATATTCCATAAAAGGGGGTGATAGTACACCTCCTTGCGGAGTGCCTCTGTTCACTAATCTAGTCTGGGTCGAGGTCCCTAGTGTGGCCGTGACCAATCTGCTTATCAGCAATTTGTGGATCAGCCCCACCAGCGGTTGCTCAACCCCTAGTTCAGTGAGGGATTCTGTTATTGCCGTGGGGAGCACGTTGTTGAACGCTCCTTCTATGTCAAGGAAGGCGATCAAGGTGTATTCTTGTATACTGAGTGATTTCTCGATGTTGCTTACTACCAAGTGTAGCGCCGATTCGGTCGACTTACCTTTGGTGTATGCGTGTTGCGCCTCTGATATCTGCGTCGGGTCAATGATGTCTCTAATATGTAGACCTAACAGTCTTTTTAAGATTTTTAGCAGGAATGATGTCAGACTTATCGGTCTGAAATCCTTCGCTGTAGTATGGGTGGCTTTCCCTGCCTTAGGGATGAAAACGACTTTCGTTTCCCGCCATGCTGTAGGTAGTTCTCCTACTGCAAGAATGGTCTGGAATATTTTTCTCAGCCAGTTTATAGCTAGTTCTCCTGCTTGTTGAATATGTGCCGGTGTTATATTATCCGGTCCCGGCGATTTGTATGGCTTAAAACTATGAATGGACCAGCTTATATTACGGTCTGATAGTAGGAGATTTAAGTTTATTCCTTCTCCGGTGTGTCTTCCTGGGGGATGTCCTGATTGTAGGCTCCCTGGGAAGTGAGCGTCTAGGAGTAGGTTTAGGGATTCTTCACTAGAATCCGACCATGATCCGTCAGCCTTTTGGAGATAGCCTAGGGATACGGCTGTCTTAGAAAGTATTTTTCTGAGCCTTGCGGCATCAGTTGTCTTTTCAATGTCCGAGCAGAAGTTCTGCCACGCAGTTCTCTTCTCTTTTCTAATGGCCTTTTTGTATGTGGCTAGTTCCTTTTTGTAGCTTTGCCAGTTTATGTCCTCATTTGCAGCTTTCGCTCTGTTGAACAGGTTTCTGCATTTGGCTCTGAGGATTGATAATTGCTGGGTCCACCAAGGAGGTTTTTTCCTTCCCCTTGGTTTCCCTAACGGGCATGCAGCTGAGAATACCGCGTTGCATGCTTCTGTGAATTTGTTTACTATATTATCTAGCTCCTGAGTGCAAGGAGTGCTTTCTGGTGGCTTCCTGGGGAGGAAGTTCGATAGAATTTCTTTGTATTTATTCCAGTTTGCCCGCCTGGGGTTGGCAAAGCTGACCGGCACAGGTGATACTAGGGACAAAGTTGTCTCTATAAACCTATGATCTGAAAATGAGTGCTCGTTGGAGACAGCCCAGTTTGTGACTGTGTTTATGAGTAAATCTGATGCCAGGGTTAGATCTATGATAGTTTGGCACGTTTTTGTTATAAAAGTAGGGGTATTGCCCCTATTGCAAAGAAATAAATTCGATTTAAGAATGAAGTCGAATAAAGACTCACCTCTGTCGTTGTTGATAGGGCAGCCCCACTGAGTATGGTGGGCATTTGCGTCGCATCCTATCACCAAACCTTTCTTAAGCTCTTCACATTCCTGTACCAGTCCTCTGACTAGCGCGTCTGGGGGTCTACCTTTTCGGAAGCCATGTAGGCCGATAGCATCCTAAAAGAGCCGCTTTGCAGCTCCAGGCTTATTGCTGTGTTGTCTCCGTTGCTGTATTTGTGAAGCAGAAATGTACTAAGATGCCGTTTGGCTAAAATGCAGGTTCGAATTTTACCTTGTTTGGGGTCAAGCATAAGCTTGTAGTCTTTTGTTCCCAGTCCAGCAACCCTGCCTCCTGCTACCCAGGGTTCCTGAACTAAGACCACGTCGGCTTCGCCTTTGGCCAGGCGAAACAAAAGAGCAGCGGACGCTGCTTTACTGTGATGTAGGTTGATCTGCAGGAGTCTTAGCGACATCCCCAGCTGCAACCTCCACCACAGTAACGTCGGCCTCCGAATCGCTCAGCTCCACTTCGTCGATTGCCGGTCCCATCGCTCGCATCTCTCTGCTTAGCGACGAGTCGGTTGAATAGCCGTCCTCCGGCACACCAGGGGCCTCCACTTCCTCCGCAAGCACCTGCTCGGCTGGGTTGCCGGCAGGACTTCCAGAGGAATTAGAGTCCCCTTTATAGATTTTAATGTGTATGGCACTGAACCCATATTTAAGCGTTCCCCGAGCAGCCTCTATGGGAGCGACAGACTCCTTGTTCAGTACCACAATCGCTTGGTTTACGTCTCCTTCGTGCTCCTCCACCTTAACGACTTTCCAGTCTTTTGTGGGGAGATGTGGGTTGCATTCTTGCAACATAAAGAGGATGTCCTCCGGTGATGCGATTGCTGCTGGGAGCCAAATTCTGGCTCGCGGTCTACTGGGGACGTCACACCAATCTAGTGCGACTATGTTCGCCCCTTCGTAGACTGCTCCGAGCTGAGCTACCGCCTGTTTATATAGGTCAGCTGATCGCTGATTATCGCAGGCCACCACTTTTACACTGCCCTGGTACCAGCCCGCGTCCATACAGCAAGGCGCTGAACCGGGCTTCTCGCGTACCATACGCAGGCAAATGAGTGACAGCTTGGACTCAACCGCCTTCCATTTGTTTCTGGGGATCCTGCTCTCCGGATTTCCCCTATCAATGAGTCCAAGTAGGACCCGATCTTTGGTGATCTCGGCAAAGGAGACCGACGGCTGGATCCTCGATCTCTTCGCCGACGGGCCGGGCAGCTCTATGGAGCGTTGCCTCTTCGCCTGAGCACCTTCTTGTTGGGGCTTCTCTTGCCCATAGTTGGGAAACACCGTCCTTGCCCACTCTACCTTCTTTAGCCATTCGGGCGAAGGCGTGGCGACAGTGCTTCTGGCATGTGAGCGCAGGGTTTGGGCGGCAGTCCGTCTCTCTGCGTAAGTAAAATTCTTCTTTGCACCAGCGGGTGACCCGATCGACTTTGCTGCGCCTACCACTGGTTTTGGCGCAGATTAGCACATAGCAGAGGCGTTAGCGACAGTCTTTCTGTCCCCCGTCATCCCTAGTTTGGGATGGGGCCCTTTCTGAGCCCTACTGGTGCTTGCAGTGGAACCATCGTTCGTCTTTGCAGCGCCGGGTTTTTGTGGAGTTCCCGTCTCCGTTTTTATACCCTTGCAGAGGGTATTATAATTTTGGTCAAAAGTGTGCAACGCAGTGAAGGAGACATCTCCGACCCTATAAAGTATATATATTCTTGATCAGGATCACCTCCTGAGTTGATATAGCCATGTCCGTCTGTCCGTCTGTCTGTCCGTCTGTCTGTCCGTCTGTCTGTCCGTCTGTCTGTTTCTACGCGAACTAGTCTCTCAGTTTTAAAGATATCGAATTGAAACTTTGCACACACCCTTCTTTCCTTTGCACGCAGTATATAAGTCGGAACGGCCGGGATCGGCCGACTATATCCTATAGCTGCCATATAACTGAACGATCGGAAATGCCATAACTTTGGTGTTTGTAAAGTTAGGAAGTTGGGATTTCCTATGGGTTTTATATTTGGCTAATCAATCCGACATGCCGAATTTCATAAGGATCGGCCGACTATATCCTATAGCTGCCATATAACTGATTGATCGGAAATGCCATAACTTTGGTGTTTGTAAAGTTAGGAAGTCGGCATTTTCTATGGGTGTTATATTTGGCCAGCCAATCCGACCTACCAAATTTCATAAGGATCGGCCGATTATATCCTATAGCTGCCATATAACTGAACGATTGGAAATGTCATAACTTTGGTGTTTTTAAAGTTAGGAAGTTGGGATTTTTTATGAGTATTAAGAATGCATCATATGAATAATTTTGGAGAATATAATTTACAGAGTATTCTGCAAGGGTATATCAACTTCGGCTCCGCCCGAAGTTAGCTTTCCTTTCTTGTTTTGTTTGTGTTTTTGTGTGTTGTTTCCATAGTTGGTCCCACGAGCTGCGGAGAAGGGGAAAGGTCCGCCAGGGCAGAGATCCGCGTTACCCGGGTAAGGCGGTAGATAGAACAGGGGGTCGCCATCTCCCTGAGCCCACCGTTTGAGACTGGGCTAGTTGTTGATCCGGGCCCCCAGCCAGGCTGACTCTTGGCACGGTCCGGATTACACCGTAGTCCGGCCCGGAGTGAGATGTTGTTTGGGAGAGGAAGTGGGTAGGTGGTGTGTGGGGGATATTGGGTTTGTGTAAAGCAACTGTTTAGATGCGGCTGAACAAATCGCATCGTCGGTACTGCCTCGTTGCAAGATACCCGCTGGTTGTCCGGGACTGCTTATTTGCTGGGGTTTCCGTCCACGATTCCGTGTTTGATTTCCACCGCCAGCTTATTCGCAGCTGGCCTCGAGTGAGGTCGTCCGCTATCCGCAACCTGCGACCCGCTCGGTCGCCCCAGCTAGGCGGCTTCAGAACCATCTCACAAGTTCCTCAGACCAAATATAAAACCCATAGGAAATCGCAGCTTCCTAGCTTTGCAAACACCAAAGTTATGGCATTTCCGATCAATCAGTTGTATGGCAGCTATAGGATATAGTCGGCCGATCCCGGCCGTTCCGACATATATACTGCGTGCAAAGGAAAGAAGGGTGTGTGCAAAGTTTGAATTCGATATCTTTAAAACTGAGAGACTAGTTCGCGTAGAAACAGACAGACGGACAGACAGACGGACAGACGGACATGGCTATATCAACTCAGGAGGTGATCCTGATCAAGAATATATATACTTTATAGGGTCGGAGATGTCTCCTTCACTGCGTTGCACACTTTTGACCAAAATTATTATACCCTCTGCAAGGGTATAAAAATGTTCCTAACAGTCGTCTTCTACATCAATTTCTATTGAAAACGGATTTTCAAAGTCAGAATTTGAATCACTATCATTATTGCTAGCATCAAAATCGGGAACATTGTTATTATTGTTCATGTTACAAGAATATAGCAAGGTGATTCCAAAAGTTCGATTACGTCTGCTGGTAGGGGTAGTTTATTTTGGTGACCCAATCTTTTTGTTAAATAGATGCTTGACACAAGAGGATCTGAGGAATCCATTGCTCTGTGGAAAACGTCTGCCATGTTGTTCTGCCGTGTACTCTATCGAGCATGTAACCTCCTGTCACTCTTATAGTATTTGTAGCGAGCCTCTGAGGCGTTCTCGCCGAGAACACCTAATGGAAGGATTGATGCTTCTACTATTGGTATCCGTGCATTAACACTTTATGGACTGTTGCTGACATTGGAAACCATGGATACAAGGACATACATAGTGATATGGTTTTCTGACAATATTTTTAAAATTTTGTTGGATCAATTGGTAGGTGGCAAGAAATTGAAATTAAAATATTGTCAAAATATGCAATGAGAAATTCATCAAGACCTAAGAATTTAGCTAGTAGCTTAGGTTGCGCAATCGCCCTCCTTGCTGCAATGCAGCTACAATATGTGGGATTTATACATATCGTTGCAAAATGGAGCAAAAAACCTTAATAAAATTAGTTTATATACACTTTGCACTTTAATGACAGATAGTTACTTTTTGGCACAAGTTGGCACAAAATTTGTTATAATCCACAACAGACGGGTTAGCAGGTTAGCTTTTTTCTACTCTTGGACAACACAAATAAACGCACACAAAGAACACATTATCAAACATGAACAAAGTCTTTTTTAATACAAATATTCTACATACCTTTGTCTTTCGTTTCCATAATTTTAGTGAAAATTGCTTAAACCACAACAATGTTGGCACGCTCGCAAGTAAACAAAATCTTTCCCGCGCTTTTTAGTTTTGCACGCATGCAATCAGACAACTGACTTTGAAGGGCTGCCAAAATTTCAGGGATGCATTAAAACAATTAAAATATTTTGATTCATTTTAGTCAAAGTATATACTATTCAAATTTTTTTATTAAAATATGTTTACTTGCTATGAAAAATTGGAATTTTCGTCGAAAAATTGGCTCGCTGGCCCAATGTGCAGTGGTCGGGGTTCGGCCACCAGGCCATCCTTTGTGGTCGTGCCTGCCGTCAGTCTGCACATCAGTGGTTTGAGGCGGATTGGCGCTGTCCGTACCCGCACTTCAGCCCCCGCTGGTCTGGCCGCTATTAGTTGCGCTACCCTTTTTGCCTCCTGCAGCTGCTTGCACTCCTCCTTGAACTTCTTGCTTGACTGTTGGAATTTGTCCATGTTGTTGTTGTGTCCTGAAAAGAGTAAGACGTCACATGAGTTACCCGCTGCCTCTCAATTATTAAGGGGTGTTAGTGCCTGGTTAGTTTGAATATATATTTTTAAGTCGCCAATATATGCACGTTTCGATTTCTTGGTTTTTGGATCTTTTAGTCTAACTACCACCGGTGAACAGAAGTTGTCTACTACCCACGGCCCGTCGCTAGTTTGGCGATAGTTTCGCGTTAAACTTTTTTTTTCGGACGTTGATGCACTATGATCAGCGCAAACAAGTGGCCCTTACGACACCAAGCAGTGCTTGTTACGCGCGGAGCCTAATAGGCGCAAAAACGAGATCGCGAGAAGTTAAAAGCACAATGTAGAAGCGGACAGACTAAGATTACAAATACGTACGAGACTAATACTAATACTAATTTTGTGCTAGGTAAGATAAAATTAATGATTTTAGGCTTGGCAAAGAGTCGGTAGTAGAAATAATGTGGTATAGTCTATTATAGTCGTTACACAGTACTCTAAACGGTTCATGCATATCAAAGTTAGATCTACAAATATTTAATGTAAGAGGAACATAGTTCCTGGTAATTCTATTAGGCACGGAGAAGCTTATGCGACCCAGTAACTCGGGACTCTCCACATCCCCGTGAATAAGTTTATAGATAAAAGTTGTGCCAAGCATCGTTCTACGGTTTACTAAGGATGGTAGATTAATTAGGAGAAGTCTACTAGAGTAGGATGGTAAAATAAGGCTTGCATTCCAGTTAAGGCCCCGTAGAGCAAATAATAAAAAGTTCTTTTGCACAGACTCTATCCGGTCTATATGTACACCATACTGAGGACTCCAAACTGCAGAACAGTACTCCAGGATTGGACGGACTAGTGAAATGAAGAGAGTCTTTGTAACATAGGGATCATCGAATTCCTTTGACCACCTTTTAATAAATCCAAGTACTCCCCTGGCCTTATTCACCATAGAAGTAATATGGTCACAAAACTTAAGTTTAGGGTCAAGGAGGACGCCAAGGTCATCAACATGCGTAATTTTAGACAACGCGCAACCACCCAGCGTATACGTTGCATATTGTGGGTTCACCCGAAAAAATGTCATTACTTTGCACTTAGCGCTATTTAAATCCAAAAGATTTTCACAACACCATGTTTGAAAAGCGTTTAGGTCAGATTGTAAGTCTGAACTGCTAGAAATTTCGTTATATTGCAGGCATAACTTAACGTCATCTGCGTACATAAGGACACTCGACTTTGTCAAGACTAGAGGGAGATCGTTTATAAATAAAGTAAAAAGAAGTGGGCCAAGGTGGCTTCCTTGTGGGACGCCTGAAGTAACTCGGATCAAATCAGAGATCGAGTTTTTAAAGAGGA